TGCTAAGCCATAAACATGTCTATCAGTCCATCTGTTCATCCGTTATCTACCTACCAGTCATCTCTGTAGTCTTTCTCTCTCTCTTTGGCCCTCTCCCATGACTTCTGAGTTAAATCTTTTCATGTTTTACCTGCATGCACATATATACAACACGCGTGGGCTAGTGCCCACATGACTAGAAGAGGGTGTTCGTTTCTCTGGAACAGAGGTGGTAGGTAGAGACTGCTCTAGAGACTATAATAAATATTCTATATGATCATAATCCAAGTGTCATTGTGTTTTATATATACAGAAAAATTAATTTTATGAATGCTATGTGTTTCTGAAGTAATGTATACCTAATGTTACCTGTATCTAAGAATTCTGTATGAAATTCCATTTATACTATTTGGTTTTATTTGGTTGTAAATGTGACATGATTTTCGTATAATATAGATCCCACAATGAATTGATTTGCCAAGTGCTGACTTTTCTAGAGCTTGAGAAAAGGAGAATGTTATATATGACTATAAATTTTAAAAAATTAGACATTTGATATATACAAATACTCCTCAAGAGAATGCTATATGTTTAAATTTCACATTAAGGCTCAGAATGAAACCCCAACAGTGGGTTATTTATTTGCTGTAACTTTGTTTTAAGAAAGTGGTGCAATCAAGACAATTATAGTAGATCACTGTGGAGTACTTCAGTGTCTAACTGGTTGAGTTATTTCCAAGAGTGTAACATCAGTGTTGACAAGATACGTTGGGGCAAAGTAGAAGGTAAAGTGGTGTGAATGCACAGCAATGACCTAAAACAGTAACTGTCCTGAGCTTGCTATTTAGATCCTTCGGGAGAACCGGGCATGTGATATGTATCCATAATGTTGCATTCCCCTGGAGTAAAGGAAATGGCCTTTCTAGCGTGGCATCCAAATCTCAGGAGAAAGAGAAAGAGTCCCCTGTGTTGTAGCTCTGCTGCAGCTGTGGAATGAAATTTTTTCTTCCAAGTGAAGGCCTGAGGCCTCTCATCATCACATCTTTGAATGTAAACAAAGGCTCCATGCTTTTAAAGATGCATTTTATGCATACGAGTGTTTTGTCTGCATGCACATATATACAACATGTGTGGGCTGGTGCCCACATTGATTGGAAGAGGTGTACGTTTCCCTGGGAACTGGAGTTGTAGGTAGCTGTGAGCAGCCAGTTGGTTCTGGGAACTGCACCAGGGTCCTCTGGAAGAAAAGTATGTATTCTTAACCCCGGAAGCCGTCTGTCCAGCTCCCATCAATATTGGGTTCCTGTTGCGGTTGCTTATTTTTGGGAATGGGGTCAGTGAGGTCTCGTGTAGCCTCGTTTATCCTTAACACACTGACCTTGAACTCCTGCCCTTCCAGTCTCTCCTTCCCAAGTGCTGAGATTAGAGGCATGCATCACAGTACTGGGTAAGTTCCCAGTATTTGTTCCAGAAAGCAAAAGCCACCGGCACATTTTGTATGACATGCAGAAATACTTTTAGTTAGTCTTGGTTTATGTGGAAAGCTGGGGCCTTCTGGCTGTTGATGTTTGTGTCAACAATCTGAAATCTGAAGAGGAAGTTGTAATTTAAAATCTCCTCTCTGTGAGAGGCCGGTCTATGACTTTGCTTTTGGCAAGAATTTGTTTTTAATGAGGACAATCACACTCCCGGGAATGTAAAGGAACACAGAAGTTTGGTTTTCTTTTTTTAGTTTTAAACTGAGAAATACAATCAGTTACACTCTGAGGGTGGGGGCGGAGTAAAGGGTAGATATATAAGATATGATTGTATTCTCTGGCAGACATCTCAGGGCAGTAGGTTAGGAACTACGAAGACAACCCTCCCCCTTCTACCTGTTTATAAATATTTCCTCATCCTTATGAGAACTGGATCCATCACTGAAGGACCAGTCCCCAGTCAAGCCCATTAAAGCCTTTTGACAATAGAATATAAAGAGTGTGTATCTTTTTTTTTTTTCCAGTTCTGGTGAATACTTTTTGAGTATGTGAAGTATGCCAAGTGCTGTGGTTACTGAGATGGACATGTGCGCCTCCATGTCAAGGCGTGACTCTGTGTGCAATGCTGAGTAATGGGGTTTGTGAGGACTGGGTGCTGGGCACCTTCCTAGGGAAGTTTAAAGGGCAGGACAGGCTTAGAGATTTGGAGCCAGCATTCCAGGAATCAGTACTGTTCCCCCACATGTATCATCAGGCAATGAAACCCTGCAGGCTTGCTCGCGCTCTCTCTCTCTCTCTCTCTCTCTCTCTCTCTCTCTCTCTCTCTGTCTCTCTCTCTCTCTCTCTCTCTCTCTCTCTCTCTCTCTCTNCTGTCTCTCTCTCTCTCTCTCTGTCTCTCTCTCTGTCTCTCTCTGTCTCTCTCTCTGTCTCTCTCTCTCTCTGTCTCTCTCTCTGTCTCTCTCTGTCTCTCTCTCTGTCTCTCTCTCTCTCTCTGTCTCTCTCTCTCTCTCTTTCTTTGAAACAGGGTTTTTCTATGTAGCCCTGGCAGTCCTGGAACTCACTTTGAAGACCAGGCTGGCCTTGAACTCAGAGCTTCACCTGCTCCTGCCTCCCAAGCCCTAGGATTAAAGGTGTGAGCCACCATAGCTCATCTTAGCCTTCTTATTAAATGGTGAGGAGTTCATGAAGAGGGGGATCTCGACATTTAGAATTGCTCTAAAATAAGGACTATATTGAGTCTCTGACTTGGCTGGGAACTGACGCAAAAGAAATAAAAATGGCATAGGACCATCTGCCACAGAGTCTTCCTTCAACAAGTACCCACCACTCATGCTAGCCTAGGAGAGAGTGAGACTTCAGCGCAGAGCACAGCAGGCGGCCCCTGGCACAGCATCTTAACAAAGCCATTAAAATCTTGTTGGAAAACAGCAACTGCCAGGAAGCCCTTGAATCAAGAGCTGCATATAGGCCTGGGCTAAAACACTGCCTTGGTGAGTGTGCACACCCCACACCCTCCCGTCACCATCACAGAAGCACTCAGCATGCCATGATGCCATGTGGGCAAGAGCTACAGTGAGCCAACAGGCCAGGTGACAGCACCGGAGATTTGGGCAAAGTTTTCCTGCGGTAGAACGAACAGAGACCTAAAGGCTCTGGAATATCAGGCCCTCCTAAACTCTGGGAAGAGTGATGTATAAGCATTTTGAATCTTCTAGTAAGCCTTTTCTTTTTTTTTTTTTTAATCTCTACAGTGCTGGGGATTGAATCCAGAACCTTCCACAGGCTGGGCAACAGTTCTACCGTTGAGTTATAATAGTTCAGCCCTAATTACTCTTCACATGTATGTGTGTGGGAGGCTCATGTGTGTGTGGATGCATGTGTATGTATGTTGTGAAGTGAGAGGTTAATGCTGAGTAAATTCTTAGGTCTCTCTTCATCTTATATATTGAGGCGGGGTTTCTCAGTGGAACCCAGAGTTCACCAGTTCCAAGAGTATAGAGTTAGCTAGTGTGCTCTAAATTTCCCTGGCTCTGCCTTCATGTTCTGGGATTGTAGACGAACTGCTATGCCCATCTGGAATTTACATGGGGACTGAGGATCTGAACTCTGGTCCCCACACTTGTGTGACAAGCACTCTACCCACTGAGTCAACACCCCTGGGTCCTAATTATTGAAGTGAGAAGATCCACAGCTCTTCTTGCTGCAAAGTGTATAAGATGAGGAGAAGCTTGCTGTCTGCACTGGGAAGGAGAGCAGGGTGTTCTAATACTTGGCCACCAGTGAGTGGTGCTGTTTGGAAAGGTCAAGGAACCTTTAGGAGGAGGAGCCTCACTTAAAGAAGTGGGTTACTGGGAGAGGCCTTGAAGTTCTGGGTACTTTTCCACTTCCTGTTCACACTCAGCTTGCTGTGCTTTCAAGATGGAAGGTAATGTGAAGTCCTGGTCTCATACACCCCCTTACACAGTGGGGTTACCAGTCATGTTTTCCCTGCAGTGATAAGGACGTTGACATTGTATCCCCTCAAACCTAAATGAACTCTTCCCCCAGGTAGCTGCTTCCTGTCAGGTATTTGGTCACAGCGATGAGAAAATGGATTGCCTCTCTGTCTGAACTACCTACGGGTTTGTATATGATGCAGAATGAAAAATAATTGATTTGTTTTTTTTTTTTTTTTGAGCGAAGACTGCATCAAAAGAAGGAGGAATGAAGTCATCTTGAGTCAGCTAAAGTCCCAGAGGGTGGCCAGGCACCTTCACCGTCCTCTTCTGCATGGCTCTTACGTTCTCCATTTCCCCCTCACAGATTCCTGATACTCATAAATGATCCTGCACCTCCTTGGGACAAGATGGCAGGGATGCCCCTCCATTGTCCCCTGCAGCTCCTTTCCCCAGCCCATGCTTAGCAGAGGAACTGCAGCGGACAGTGACACTCCAGCACACTTTACACACTGACAATCCCTTATGGAAATAGAGAAGAGTCAGCTCGAAGATGCAATGCAATTGCTCTCCACTGAGATTGTGCCACCTTTATCTATCAGTTGACATCTGGGTTACCACTAGATTTGGACAATGATAAAACTAGTTCAGAAAAAAAAAAAAACAAAACTAGTTCAGCAAACACAGAGTTTTAATTCCTCTCCATGTATACCGAGACGTGATTGGCCATCCGGCTTTTAATTTCTTGAGGAAGTCCATGCTGTCTACCATTTTCCATTCCCCCTCAAGCAGCACGGAAGAGCAAATAAAATTTCCAGCAGAAAAGCTGACAGATTTCACATCAAACTCACTCAAGTTCAACTCTGAGTGTCAAGTAACTCTTGAAGATTAACTCAGGGCAACCAACAGACTTGAGCCCTTGCTCTCCAGTTCAAGCCAGAGGCCATTTGAACACACACTCACGGTATATGAAATGGAACCATTTCCCAAGAGATTCCAAAGAGCAATCAAGCAGAAATAAAATGGCACTTCCCCACAGCGCCAGCACCAGGTAAGGATTTCTGCCTCTGGAAGAGTCACATGGGCCTGTGCCAGGCAGGCTACTTAC